AACTTCAGCCAAGTATTATTCTGTTTCCTTTCACCACCGACCCAGAATATCTGTGTCTAGTTCTCCTCCTCCTTTCTCCCCAGGTCTCTGTTCTTACATATTCCTCTCTACCCCCACCCAGTCTTGTATCTCTCCCATCTCTTTCCTAAGGGCTAAGGTTAGAAGAGGTAGGAGAGAGGAATGGGGGAGAGGGAGAGAAGGAGGAGAGAGAGGAAAAGAGAGGGAGAGAAAGAGAGAGGAAGGAAGGAAGATATATACATACACACACACACTATGTGTATGTATGTGTATATCTATACCTATATCTATCTATCTATCTATCTATCTATCTATCTATCTATCGAGAAAGGGAGATGGAGGAAGAGTGAGCAAAATGGTGAGGGTTCTGGTAGTAGGAAAACAGTATGTTAGGAGTTAAGAGGAAGCTGAAGAAAAGAGTAGGAAGGAGAATGGGTGGGAATGAAAGGGGGAAATGAATTTGAAGACAGCAAATATAGAAGGTGGAAGGAAAATGATAGCAGGTGAGGGACTAGTGGAAAGAAATAAATGCAAAGAATATGTGAGCAGAAGAAGAGAATATAAAAACTCTGTAAGGGACACGTGGTGATGTGGAGAGAAGGAGAATGAAGAAGGGAAACTGAGGAAGCCAGCAGGAAAAGGTGTCAAAGAAAATCCAGGTTCTTTGAAGCAGTGAGCTAACAACATTCCTCTCCCAAATGAAGCTGAAACATTGTCCCTATCTTGCTCTCTCCTTCCTTCAGGTCTTGAAGTCCAGCAAGGTCAGGGGAAAGAGTGGGAAACAGCCTACTACAGAATTATGAATTCCTGCAAAACTCAAAGAAGCCCACATTCCTCCTTTCGGTGGTTAGGTATGCTTTTCTCTGCTCCTCCATACTCACTCTTTTTCACCCTCCATTCGGTCAGCTGATGATTTGGCATAGGCATGACTGCCCTGTAGAGGGGGGAAATGTAAAACATTGATGTGTCTTTATCTAAAGTTTGTCTTTGTGGGTCATGAAGTGAGGAGTATGCATGGTGTCACCCAAGTCCTCACTTCTTTTAAACAAGCTGCAACAAAGTCTGCTGCGATGAAGGACCAGGGAGCATTTGAAGAACATTATATGTGCTTGACATTGTGCCAAGTGTTTTTACATGCAGTGTCTTGTGTAATCCCCACAAAGACACCGAGAAGTAGGCATTATTAATCCCAACTTTGCAGATAAGAAGCTATGACTGGGAGAGGTTAAATAACTTATGCAAGACCATGCAGCTAGTAAGTGGTAGAGCAGAGAACCTACTTATTCAGTCTCCAAGGCCTGTATTCTTTCTATAATGAGGTAAAATCACATTTTAATATTGTTTTCAAAAGGGAGGAAACTTTTGCCACGGAACTGGAAGCTTGAACATAAAGTGGTTGGGATTAGAAAGACCTTGCCCGTGAGAAATTCATCATTCTCTTAATGGAGGCACAAATATCCCTGGACCCGGTTTCTTGTGTGATGCTCTGGACAATTGCCCCTTGTTCTGTGCTTTAGTTCCCTCTCTTCCCCCACCCCACCCTGATAAGCAAAATCCAACAGGCTTATAGAAACATAGATGTCTAAGCTATGCTGAACTCAATGAGGGTTCAAGTTTCCCAGACTAAACATTCGGATTTGCCCTTACCCTTATGCTCTCTTTCATAACTCATTCTTTGGAGGCCCTGTCTAAGTTCCCCAGAATAATATTTTTAATTGACAATGTCACATGCACTATAAACTCATAAATAACAATGCTCTGTCACAAAGAGAAAAAGTCAAAGGTAGACAGACACCGTACCTAGGTAAAGCACAATAGTCAGGAATAGTCTTCCCTTGAGGGCTACTAATGACTCTTGTGCAGGTTGGAAACTACACTAACCTATCAGACCCAGAAGTTCTGAGTGAGAGTGGAGACCCAGCCTATATTCTCTTCTCCAATTCATGGGGTGTCAGCCCAGAAGAAGAGGAATCTATTGTTAATTGCTCTGCCCAGAAGAGGATCCCTTTTTATTCTACCATGCAGGGGAGAACATTTTTCAGTTTTTCACAAAGGCTCCCAACAATGTTTTAACTGTAGTCCTGTCCTTTCTCTCTTCATCTTCATTTTCAAAATTCATTTCACAGACTTTCATTTCCAGAAATAGTTCTAGCCATGACAAAGTAGCTGATTTTAGATTTACCTTACGACAAAAAGCAACTATAAAACAGGACACAATGTACAAGGCAAATCTTTTCAGACATTGGACAAAAGAAATCACAGGATTATGAATTTTGAAAAAAGGAAAACACATAAGTTGTGCCCCATGGTTTGCCTTGATTTTCTGCCTTGGATCACTTTCCTGACTTTGGTACAGGGAAGCAGAGCCCATGAAAAGCATGCAAGTGTTGACCTCATTGAGTTGGGAAGGTAGAGATTGGGGTTTAAGGTCATCAAAATGTCTGAAATATGCAATGAAGGTTATCAGAGGGGAGAAAGCTGCATAGGAATATGTGTGGTCAAAAGTCTACATGGGGATTTCCCTCAGGTTTTTGACTGAGGCCTGTGTTGCATATACGCCAGAGGAGATGCCACAGCATAGGCTTATTAAGGAGTTGCTGGTAAAGAATGTTGAATGGAGGGACATGGGTTTATGTAGGGCTGGGAGATATTGAAAAGGCAATTTAACCAAAGTGGAGACAGCTCACTGAGAATGCTGAGTTATGTTTTAGGATAAGGAACATGTCCTACAGTAAGGTCCATACCCTAAGACTAAGGTCAAAATAGAAATAGATCATTTGAAAAGCATAATAAACCTGACAATATCGAGAAGGTTCACAATCTTAACTGATAGTCAGAATCCTTAAAAGAAGACAACATAATCCAAGATGCCCTATAATATAGTATCACAATGTCCAGCATACAATAAAAATCACTAAACATTCAAATCACTAAACACATATCAGAAAAATGTGACTCATAATTAAAAGAAGAAGCAGTCAATAAAAACATACCTTCAAATGACCTAGATTTTGTAATTAGCAGACAACCCTTTAAAATAGCTATAATCCATTTACTCAAGGATTTAAAAGAAAATATGGATATAATAAGCAATCAAATTGGGAATATCAGTAGGGCAAAAACATCTTTTTTAAAAAATTATTTATTTATTTTTAAATTTACATCCAAGTTAGTTAGCATATAGTGCAACAATGATTTCAGGAGTAGATTCCTTAATTCCCCTCACCCATTTGGCCCATCCCCCCTCCCACAACCTCTCCAGCAACCCTCTGTTTGTTCTCCATATTTAAGAGTCTCTTATGTTTTGCCCTCTCCCTGTTTTTATATTATTTTTGCTTCCCTTCTCTTATGTTCATCTGTTTTGTATCTTAAAGTCCTCATATGAGTGAAGGCATATGATATTTGTCTTTCTCTAACTGACTAATTTTGCTTAGCGTAATATCCTCTAGTTCCATCCATGTAGTTGCAAATGGCAAGATTTCATTCCTTTGGATTGCCAAGTAATACTCCATTATTTGTGTGTGTATATATATGTATGTACATACACATACACATATATATACACACACACCGCATCTTCTTTATCCATTCATCCATCGATGGACATTTGGGCTCTTTCCATAGTTTGGCTACTGTTGATAGTGCTGCTATAAATATTGGGGTGCATATGCCCCTTTAAAACAGCACACCTGGATCCCTTGGATAAATACCTAGTAGTGCAATTGCTGGGTTGTAGGGTAGTTCTATTTTTAATTTTTTGAGGAACTTCTACACTGTTTTCCAGAGTGGCTGCACCAGTTTGCATTCCCACCAGCAGTGCAAAAGAGATCCTCTTTCTCTGCATCCTTTCCAACATCTGTTGTTGCTTGAGTTGTTAACTTTAGCCATTCTGACAGGTGTGAGGTGGTATGTCATTGTGGTTTTGAGTTGTATTTCCATGATGATGAGTGATGTTGAGCATTTTTTCGGGTGTCGGTTGGCCATCTGGATGTGTTCTTTGGAGAAATGTCTATTCAGCTCTTCGAACAAAAAAAATCTTTTTAAAGAACATATGGAAAGTCTATAACTATAAAGTACAATATCTGGAATAAAATATTCACTGGACTTGCACTACAAAAAGTTTCAGTGAACTTGAAGATGAATGAATAGCAATGAGCCTAACTGATAAAAGATAAGAAAAGTACCTCAGTGCCCTATGGAATAATATTAAGAAATCTAAAATAAATGTAATTGGATTTCCAGAAGGACAAGAGAGAGAATGAAGAAGAAAATATATTTGAATATATATTTGAATACTAATTAAAAATTCCTCAGTTTCATAAAAGCATCCATCTATAAGAAGCTCAAAGATGCACAAATGACAAAAATTGAAAACAAAACAAAACATGCCTAAGCCCATCATAATCACTGCTGAAAATCAAAGATAAAGAAAAAACATTGAACACAGCAGTAGGAAAAAAGACCTATTACATAAAAGGCAACAGTGATAATAATTAGAGCTGTCTTCTTGATAGAAAAACAATGGAAGCCATAAGATAATGGAATATCTTTAAGGAATTGAAAGAAAAGAAGTTGAGCAGACACTGGATAACAGACCATATGTGCATTTTAATTTAATTTTTTATTGTAGTAAAATATATATAACAAAATTTACCATTTTAGCCATTTTAAGTGTGCATTTCAGCAGTATTAAGTACATACACATTGTTGTGCAACCATTATCATTATTAATCTCTAGAACTTTTTATCATTCCACACTTAACTATACCCATTAAAAAGTAACTTTCTATTCCCCTCTCCCAAATTTTCAAATATTTTCAAATATTTTTTCTCATCCCATGGATTGCTTTTTCACTCTGTTGATAGTGTCCTTTGATGTACAAAAGTTTTTAATTTTGATGAAGTCCAGTTTATCTATTTTTTTTTGTTGTCTGAGCATTTGGTTTTATTTGATTTGCGTTTGATTCCAAGGAATCATCGCCAGCTTTGCGCAGTGGCAGTATCGTAGCCAATGAGGTTTATCCGAGGTGCAATTATTGCTAATTGAAAACTTTTCCCAAGAAATCATCGCTAATCCAACTTCATGAAGCTTTCCTCTAGTTTTTCTTTGAAGAGTTTTATAGTTTTAATCTTACATTAGGTCTTTGATTCACTTTGAGTTAATTTTGCATATATGGTATCAGGTAAGTATCTTTGTTCTTTTACATATGAACATCTAGTTTTCCAGCACCATCTGTGAAAAAGACTGTCCTTTCTCCACTGAGAGGTCTTGGCACACTTGTCAAAGAATGCTTGATCATGTATAAGGGTTTATTTCTGGGCTCTCTGTTCCATCTTTTATGTCAACACCATGCTATTTTCATTACTATAGCTTTATAGTAAAATTTGAATCAGAAAGTGTGAGTTCTCAAATTTGGTTCTTTTTCAAGATTGTTTCATCTATTTGTATGATGTTAGCTGTGGGTTTTTTGTATATGGCCTTTATTATGTTGAGATACTTGCCTTCTATTCATAGTTTGTTGAGTATTTTTTACCATAAAAGGGTGTTGAGCTTCGCCAAAGGCTTTTGCTGTATCAATTGAAATAATCACATGCTTTCTTTCTCTTTATTTTGCTAATGTGATATGTTATGTTGATCAGTGTTCATATGTTGAACCATCCTTGCATTCTAGGAATAAGTTCCAATTGGTCATAGTGTATAATCCTTTGAATACACAACTGAATTCAATTCCCTAGCATTCTATTGAAAATTTTTGCATAAATATTCATAAGGGATATGGGTCTATAGTTTTTTTGTAGTGCCTTTGGACAAAGGTCTTTATATTCAAGGAAAGTATCCTTTAAAAATAAAAATGAGATAAACATTTAATAAGATAATCCATTGACAAAATACTTGCACTACATTAAATTTTACTTAATTTTTAAATTTTTTTAATTTTTATTTTTTCCCCAATTTTAGAGAGGGAGAGTGTGTGCAAGCAGGGAAGAGGGGCAGAGTAAAAGAGAGAGAGAGAATCATAAGCAGATTCCATGCTCAGCACAGAGCTCCATGTGGCTCAATACCATGACTCTGGAGTCATGACCTGAGCTGAGCATCAAGAGTCAGATGCTCAACTGACTAAGCCACTCAGGTGCCCACAGTACACCAAATTTTAAAGTAAATTCTCTCTGAAGGGAAATAATGTGAGATGAAAACAAAAATCTACAGGAATTAATAAAAACATTGGAAATGGCAAAAATTTTAATAAATACAAAAGCTTATCATCTTATTTTTCTTAATTCCTTTAAGCAAGCTAAAAGCAAAAATAATAACTGTATTGTGGGATTTTTACCATATATAATAATAATATATGACAGCAAAAGTATAAAATAAGGTACAAATGGAAATACATATCTGGAAGGGTTATATATTTTGCCAGAAATGGTACTTTGTAGACTGTGAGTTTAAAATACACACTACAATCTTTAGAGAAATCACTGAAAACAATGTAATTGTTTCCTTAAAGGTCAACATAGGAAATAAAATGAAAAAATATTTGATTGGCATAAAATAAGGCAAGAAAGGAGTAGCAGAGGAACAAAAAAAGTGATAAAAGAAGCACAATAAAGAGGGAGACAGCAGACTTAAACTCAACTATATTAGTAATTACATTAAATATAGTTTAACTCCAATGGAGATGCAGAGGTTTTAGATCAGATTAAAACAATTTTTTTATGTTTATTTATTTTTGAGAGAGAGAGAGAGAGAACAAGCTTGAGTGTGGCGGGCAGGGAGAGAGAGAGACAGAATCTAAAAGCAGAGCCTGATGTGGGACTCGAACTTATAGACCACAAGATCATGACTTGAACAGGAGTCAGATGCATAACTGACTGAGCTACCCACGTGCCCAAGACCAGATTTTTTAAAAACCCAGTTATATGATAGCTACAAAGCTCTCTATACTTTAAATATAAAAACACAGATATGTTGAAAGCAGAAGGATATAAAATTATATGACACAAATGTAAGCAAAAGAAAGCTGGCATGTGGCTATTTTAATATCAAAGTAAATTACAAGATAAGACATGTTAGCTACAGATGAAAAGAGACTTCCCTATGATTAGAAAAAATATAAGGCTAATCTAGCAGGTAAACATTGTGTCTGCACTTAATAACAGAATTTATGGGGCACCTGGGTGGCTCAGTCGGTTAAGCATCCAACTTTGGCTAACGTCATGATCCGGCGGTTTGTGGGTTCAAGCCCTGCGTGGGCTCTGAGCTGTCAGCACTGCTTTGGATTCTGTGTCTCCCTCTCTCTCTGACCCTCCCTTGCTCATGTTCTCTCTCTCTCTCTCTGTCTCTCACTCACTCTCTCTCTCAAAAATAAATAAAACATTAAAAAATTTTTAAATAACAGAATTTATAATAACTTGCACTTAATAACAGAATATATATGAAGCAAAAGCCAATGGAAACAAAAGAGATATTCAAACCAACAATCGTAGTAGGAGATTTTAACACCCTTCCTTCAGTAATTGATAGAGTGGGTAGACAAATAGATCAGCGGGAATATAAGATCTGAACACTAGTAACCAACTTGCCCAAGCTGACATTGACAGAGCGCTCTCCCCACCACCTGTGAATACGCATTCTTGTCGTGTGCATGCAGAACAATGAGCAAGACAGAGCTCATGCTGTCAATCAGTTTCAGAATATTGAAATTTTACATATGTTTTCTCACACTGAAAAGGAGTTGTAGCTGAAATCACTAGAAATAAGATCTCTAGCAATGTTCTGGGCATCTGAAATTCAAACCATATATTTCTAATAATCCATGAGTGAAAGAGGAAATCACACACAAAAAATTAGAAAACATTTCAGATGGAACACTAACAATGATCACAGTATTTCCAAATGTGTGGGATAGAGCTAAGGTGGTGCTTAGAGGAAAATTTACACCCTTAAATATTTATATTAGAGAAGAAAAAATGCATAAATTTTCCACCTTAAGGACCAAAAAAAGAAAAAAAGAGAAAAAAAAGACATAAAAGAAAGTAAAATCAATATAAGAACAGAAAATAATGAAATATAAAACAAACAACAGAGAGTAGTAAAAACCTCAAATTTAGTTCCTTGAAAATATTAATAAAAGTGATAAGCCCTCAGAAAAGCTGATCAAGAGAAAGGAGAAGACACAAGGTACCAATATCAGAAATGAGAAAGGAGATATCATATCACCACAGATCTGACAAATACTAAACGAGTAATGAGAGAATATTATTGGCAAGTTTATGCCAATAAATTAAACAACTTAGATGGAAAAGATGAATTGATTGAAAAGGACAGCTTAAAGAAAAGACACAAGATGGAGAAGCATGTCTGAATAGCCCTGTATCTACCAAATAATTGGAACTTGTTTTCAAAATCCTTTCCAAGGTGGAAAAAAAAACCCTCCGGACTCAGGTTAAGTTCATAGGTCACTTCTAGCAAATACTTAGGAAATAGTGTCAATCTTATACCAACTCTTTTTCAGAAAGTAGAGGAACAGGCTTCACTTTCCAATTTATTTTCTGAGGCCAGTATTACTCTGCATTACCCAAACCAGACAGAGCTATTAGGAGAAAAAACTGCCAGTCACCATTCTTCATGAACATATATACAAAAATCCTCAACAATAGTTTAGCAAGTTGAGCCTGGCTATATGTATAAAACAGCTTACCAAGTGGAGTTGAAACTCAAGAGTACAAAAATCCATCCATGTAATGTATTACATTAATAGGAGTAAAATAAAACAAAACCACTTGATTATTTCAAATGCAGGAAAAAATGGATAATATTCAACATCCATTCAGGTTAAAGCCTCTCATTGAACTAGGAATAAAAGGGAACTTTCCCATCTGATGAAGAGTTTTTCTTTTTCTTTTTTTTTTTAATATTTTTATTTATTTCTAGGAGAGAGAGAGACAGCGTGAGCAGGGGAGGGTCAGAGAGAGAGGGAGTCACAGACTGAAGCAGGCTCCAGGCTCTGAGCTGGCAGTCAGCACAGAGCCCGACGCGGGGCTCAAACCCACGAACCGCGAGATCATGACCCAAGCGAAAGTCGGACGCTTAACCGACTAAGCCACCCAGGCGCCCCATGATGAAGAGTTTTTCAAAAGTCGTATAGTTAACATCATCCTCACTGGGGAAAAACTGGACATTTCCCCCCCAAACTGGGAACAAAACAAGGATGTCTGCTCTCAGCACACATATTCAGTATTTTACTGGAGGTCATAATCAGTACAATACATAAGAAAATGATACAAAAGATATAGTGATTGAAAAGGAAGAAGCAGATGGGTCTTTATTAGCAGATAACTGTCTACGGTCTGTGTTCATGGATCAAAAGAATCAGTATTGTTAAGATATCAGTTCTCCTCAAATTAATATGTGGATTCAAAGCGATCTAATCAAATGCCCATCAGATCCTCCTATAGAAATTGACAAGCTTATTAAAAAGTTCATAAGGAAATGCAAAGAACCTGATATAGCCAAAAATAAAGCTGAGGAACACAGTTGGGAGACCTATGCTAGTCAATTTCAAGACTTACTGTAAAACTACATTATGAAGACAATGTAGTATTGGCATTAGCATATCTTAAAAAAATGAAAATCGATGAAACTGAAAGGAATATCCAGAATCAAACCCACCTGCATAAAATCAATTGATTTTCAGTGAAGTCACCAAACAATTTAATGAGTAGGAAGAAAAGTTTTTTGGACCAATAACACTGGGGGAAGAAATCAGTATATAATATATTAAAAAATTTTTTTTAATGTGTATTTACTTTTGAGAGAGAGAGACAGAGAGAGAGACAGTGAGACAGAGTATGAATGGGGGAGGATGAGAGACAGAGGGAGACACAGAATCTGAAGCAGGCTCCAGCCTCTGAGCTGTCAGCACAGAATCTGACACGGGGTCGAACTCACAAGAGATGAGATCATGACCTGAGCTGAAGTCGGATGCCTAACCGACTGAGCCACCCAGGCACCCCACCAGTATACAATGTATTTTAAAAAACCTTACCCTTCCCTTTCACACTATATTTTTTAAAAATATTAATGAGGTTGATTATAGACTGTGACATCAAAACTAACATTAAAAA